CAAACATGCTGGGTTGAATTTTCTAGTGCATCGTCTTTTGACTTTTCCTCTAATACATGAGAGGTACAAAAGAAAAACGTAAAATACTACTGACGGTTTTTCGAGCGTTATTGTTGATGATATAATAAGAAAGAAGTTCAGATTGAGAATGAACGAAATCTCGACTTTTAGAAAGGACAAAAACCAAGATAAATATGAAGGTGAAGGTGGTAATTGAAGGTGGTTTTTAAAACAAGACATACACTACAGAGCCTTTTAGGAAGTCCAAAAGGCAAAGTCGATAATTCGGAAAAGTCTGAAATTTTCGAATTTGTAAGAACTGCGATGAAAAATATTATGGACAGGCAAAAAGATCCATTGAAATAAGATATAAAAAACACTTAGCAATCCTAAAATTTGGAAGACCTGAAAAATCAGCAGCAGCTCATCATATTTTGCAACAAAACCATTCCATAGACTTCAGTTCAACAAGATTAGTTAGACAAGTTAACAACAACAGGCATCTAGATGCCTATGAGAGTGCAGAAGTAATTAAAAATTATAATATTATGAATAACGATGGTGGACCAATACCTAATGTTAAAATAATAATTTATTTATTAGATTTACCTGACTAGTACATAAGGACACATTGTAAAATTAATTTGAGACTAGTAGATAAGGCAATATTTTGAAATTAATTTAAGACACTCAAGACACAGGTACCTAGAACAGGTATCTAGAGCTCTGGAAGAATGATTAGTTTGATCTTCTTCTTGAAGATGATCACTTGGTGATGGAAACACATGTCGATGTGTTATAATAACGGTTTGATGTTGGGAAAAAAACCCCAGTAATATTTAAAAGCACTATTTACAAAATATACAAATATAATCTTCTCCCATATATTGGGAAGGGGATCAGGAGAGGTATGGGTGCAGGAAAGGGGGTGAATGACAAGAGAAGACTTCAATGTGGAGCCTAGAATGACAACGATGGGTAGCGTCAGCCTCAGTCTAGGACTTCTCGCTTCCTGCCGGGTCTTATGCGAGAGCTGCAGTTCGGTAAATGGTTTTAAGTATGTCAAGTATATCTCAAGGTTCAATGCTAGAGCCTTCCTGAGGAAGTTCATGAAAAAAAACAAGTAAGAGTCATTATGAAATCACGAGAATTTTGTGAATTATCCTATCCAGCCTTTTCATGAACTAAGCGCGATCGCATTGCGACGATTATGAAAGATACAAAGTTTGTCATAGATCAATCCGTGTTTACGGGGCTGATTATGGTAGCTTCTGAGCACTGTGACGTCCCTCATCACTGGGAATTTCGGAAGGAAGAACTTGAAGAATTTATAAGACAGCCTGATATATTCAGTGACCATCTCAACTTCTGCCTTATCTAACAGATCAATCAATGCAATGTCCTGTCACTATTCATGCAAATACGGAGCACCTTATTCTGCTTCATCTCGAGTTTCCGCAGAGGAGCTCTCTTGAGGCTGCAGAATACGGGACAAACGTAGAACATAGCTGGCCTAATCCCTTGTTTGTAAATTAGCAACTTGTTGTCAACACTAAGCTTTTTGGATACCCAGCAGGACTATAACCTTGTTCATCCCCTGGTTGAAAGATTCCTTCACCCCGTGAACAACCCGTATTAGCCATGATGACGTATTCCGATCTCCTCAGAACCCAAATTGCTCTTCAAGAATTAGCTCCATACTGTCTTTCAGTCTACTCTAGAGAATCGTTTCAATGACCTTCGCCACCGCACAGAGCAGAGGGATCGGTCGATAGTCACCCATAAGAGTTTTACGTTTTTCAGACTTATGTACTGATGTTTAATTATAGCGTTATCTCTATGTACTACTTGTTCAACACCCTTTAGCGGCAGATTACACAGTGAAACTGCCTCAATCCCATCAATGCCTGTGGCTTTGTTTTTCTCCAAGCACTTCATGGTTGCGATCACCTCCTCAACGTCTGTGATCCTCTTCAATAATGTTGGCTCTGGTATTATGGTCGCCGGTCTGGTGTTAGTAGCTCCAGTGGTAGATCTGAGTTCATCACAGACGTTGGGGTTCACACAGTGGACACTGTAGAAGTATTATTATAACAACTGGGCCTTCTGGTGGTCCGTCACCGCATGCACGTCACCGTTGTCTATAGTCGGGATTGCCCAAACCACTAACCCAGTACTCCACAGAAAGTGGTCGGGTAGATTGAGGCTTTCCTGTTTTTCCCTCCACTTTATGTTGGTGAACTCTCTAATGCGCTCGTCAACATACGCAGCGAGTCTCCTTGCTACGGGGGTCACGCGTTCTCCGCCAATCCTTGCGCATCCGATGTTTTACTTTGAGCTCAACAACATCATGTGGAAGGATGTCATGATCGTTTTTCATAACGACCTTTCTCATAGATACTTCTCTAGCACGTCGGATGTTCTGAATGAATTAATCACATATCCCATTAATATCTTAATGATATTGTTTTTCATGACAGTGTGTTCATTCATGGACGCTCTGAACTCAGCCCAGTCCGTGCTCTTGTAGTCGTATTTGATCGTTTTGGCGTTCGGTCTTGCCTTGTTAAGACTGAAGAACACCGGACAATGGTCGGAGCTCAGTGATCAATTCACCCAGATCCCGAACATGCTTTATCAGTACTGGTACTAGTTCAGTACTGAAACCAACAAAGAATTGAATTCCATGAAAACTCAACAAAGACATTGCGTACGATCCCATACGTTGAACTTCATGTAACCGTAGCAACCTCATCTCCCTAGGAGGCGTTATTCGGATGGGATCGTATCGTTTTGCCCGAAGGACAGCAAATGAGGAAATTGCATTCCCTGGGGCTTCAGCACGCATCTTTCTGCGTGGTTTCCACCTCAGCTAGTAGTTATAACCGACGTGGAAGGCATCGGTCACGTAGTGTCCCATGTCGATATCTTTGCTGTCGTGATAAACGAAGGTGAATAGCTTGTTCTGCTTCTCTTTTGGAGAGCATTATTTGCTCCCAAACTTCGACCTGCTCGTTAGTTTTCAACGAAGTCAGCCCTTCCTGACTGTTCTTGGAGACGAGAACCTTGAGCGCTCTCCTGCCAATCTCCACCTTTTCAATATCGAGTGGCAGCATGAGGAAGGGCTGGATATTCGCAGAATTGTGGTTTTCGGCACCGTGAATGCTCGACTTCAGTTGTTCCCCAATGATATCGCTTATCGGTGTACTGGTAGAGTCGATCCTTCTGATTAGATATTCCTCATCAGCATTTCCTCCACTAGCGGTTCGTTTATTGAACAGGTGGAGCATAGTCATTGGCGGGCTAGGCATGTTCGGATCAAAACCAGAGTCTCCTGGCAAGCGGAGATTTCTCCAGAACAATGCATGAGAACTGCAGTGGTTCGTCCAAGATCTTATCTGGAGTGCAACGCTAGAGCTCTATTGCTATTGCAGATGACGTGACAGACTGTCAAACCATTCGCTGCAAGTGTCGGCAGAACCATACTTGCATTTTTGCGTACAAAAACTGAAAGAGAAAGTGCTTGAATGAAAAGTGAAATATACTAATCATAAGTTTTTTTACAAAAATTGGTCTGTACTTCTTAACGGAAGTTCAAAACTGTTTTGCACCATATTAGCCATACTGCCTCGATGTATTTGTTAACATACCTGAATTTTTCGAGTTAACGAACGTAATCTGCAAATGCAATTGTTGGGATGACTGAATTGACCCCAGATTCCCCAAAATCCCAAACTTTGTGTTGAGGGTCAATTTATCTGAGTTCCTCAGTCTCCATTCAGCAGGGATGGCCACTTTTACGTTAATTCGTTTAAATTCAATCCCCTCAAAATAATTTTTAGTTTTTTAAGAAAAACTGTACAAAATCACATTGAGCTTCAAAAATAACAATGAATGTGGAATGAGCATTTCCAAATCAACCGGAATAGACTCACATTTCATCAGATTGTGGCGATGAGTGGTTTTGAATAAGACCCTCTCATATTCAACCCTACGAGATGAATCGAAGAGTACTTCGGGAAAATAATTCTGAAGCTCTCAAATACCAGTGTGATGAGTCGATTTCCTTCATCATTGAATGTAGTATTGTTCAGTACCGCGCGCACTGATATATGCGCCAGTTGGAGAGCCAAGTGTATGTCTCTGCAGCGTCATGAGCTTGTTGAGCATTTCGCTTCCATTTTTTCTCACGTGACCCATTCCAACTGCCCGTCAGCTCCCATGCGGTTTTTGATAGTTTGAAACTAACTGAAAAGGTCGAAGAATTCGAAGAATGGGTGACCTACGATTTGAACGATAGACGAAATTGTCACGTTTCGAGGTCTATTCTTTCTTGTCTTTGGCGCAACCAAAACGATTCATTGCTGAATCGAATCGTCTTTTGTGATGAAACGTGGATTCTCTATGACAACAAGAGACGTTCAGGACAGTGATTGAATACCGATGAGCCACTCAGGTACTCCCCAAAGCAAAAACCCACCAACAAAAATATGGTTACTGTATGATGGTCAGGGGCAGGTGTGATTCAACCGGGTTAAACCATCACAGCAGAGTCCCATTGTAAAAAAATCGACGAAATGTTCCAAGCCAGCAGCAGCCGGCACTGGTCAGCAGGAAAGGTCCGATCCTGTTTCGCGAAAATGCCCGTCTGTTTGTTCCATAAATCATCGCCTGAAAATTGAAAGAATTGAGCGTCTAAGTTCTGCCTCACATATCATACTACCCAGATCTCTCGCCAACTGTCTACGATCTTTTCAAGCACTTAACTTTTTCACTGGTAGAACCTTCACTAATCAGGACCAGGAAAAAATAGTCGTCGTCGACTTCATCGACTCCCGGGCACACAGTTTTCATGCTGATGGATTCAATTGACTTGTGTTACATTGGCAAAAGGGCACTGATTCAAATGAAACTATTTGGATTGAATTGAAAATGTATTCACTGAGATATTAAGTGGACTATTTTATTTTCACAATTTTCATGAGTTTTTTCTATTTCAGGGGACTGGCTCGGTATTTTCGTTAATGTTGGTAAACAGTTCGGATATATAGATAGAGAAAAAACGTTCATATTGCACGATAGTCCCAGAAAGTGGTCGCAGTTAACGTTGGAAGATTTATATTTACAAGATGTCGGTAAATTCGTGCTTATTTCCTGCGCAGTCTCTTATTCTGTTTATTATGGAATGGGAGGATTTCTACATGTGAGTTATTGAATTTGAATTTTTCAAAAGGTTGAGTATGTTTGGATGTAAAACGTGTTATTGATTTCAGGAAGACCAGTACACTGAGAAATGAAATTCTTTTCTTGTACTGCACGATGACGTTAAGCTTTACCATTATTAACTTACGATGAACTGTCAGTAATTTTGATTTTTTCATCAATATAAAAAATATAGAATCAGGAACTATTAAAACAAAAGTCAATATCACCGCGCTGAAGGTGATGACGAAAAATTATAAGTATTCATGGAATTTTCAGTCCACTAATTGAAATCAGAACATTTTCATGTATCCTAGGTCACCAAAAAAATTTCATCAACATCCCTCTTCTTACTGCTCTTGTGAGAAAGTAGTGAATTTGAATTGGAAGGAAAATCTGCGTGAAACTAAAAACCTAATTCAGTTGCACTGTCATCTGATAATCCACACTGAGTATGACGAAAAACTATTAGTATTTGTGAAATTTCCAGCCCATTAACAGATTTCAGAACATTTCCATCTATTCTAGGTCAGCAGTAAAATCTTCATCAATATATCTGTTCCCACTATTCTTGTAATAATGTGAATTTAAAGTGAAAGGAAAATCCACCTATCCATAAAAACCTAATTCAATTGCACTGCCATCAGATACTCCAAATCTCTCCTTATACTGATTCAGACAACAGTGTCTTATAGGTAGGCCTGATAATGCAGTTATCCTTGCTATAATCTAAAAATTGTTTGGTAACATAGCTCCGAGGATGTATAATAGTTTTGGATGAAGCCTATCCTGGTAGATTTTATTAGATGGGACTTCCATTGTCTGATATAATATAAATTGATTCGAAATACCTGAAAAAATCTGTAAAAAATTAAAAAAGAGATTAGCTGAAACATAACAATTATATTAGTAGACAATGGAAGTCCGAACTAGTGAAATTCATCACGAAACATTGTCAATCACCTTCAAACAATAACAATTATAATAATCAAGAAAAACTGAAATTAAAATTAAATAAAATACAAGTAACAACTAGAAAATAAAAAATAATTGAACTATTAAAACGAGATGAAAATTGAAAAATTATTAACAAGAAATGAAAACTAAAAATTAAAAGATTCCAAAACAAGTTACTTCACGACGTTTCGATTGTTAATATACACAATCGTCTTCGGGTGATAACTGGACTTATTCCTCCAAGACCTGACTATTCATAGGTCATTCGAGTGCTTTCACCTATCCCCTCTTCCCTCTCTCCGCTTTATCGGTTTTAGCGGAAACTGGCCGTTTGACCGGAGTTGGTCGTGTTCCACTTGATTATAGGTTTCCATATGTTGCGAACGTTCAATGGCCTTTTAGTTTCACCGATGTATGATTCTCCGCACTTGCAGGGTATCCGGTAAATGCGATTTTTGGAATCGCAATCCGCGTTTGGTGGTATGCTGGGACCTATTTACATAACATCGAATGGTTCCAAGCTGAGATCATACACAGAGAGGAACATTGGTTTAAGAGGAATTTCAAAGAAGCCGCATACATGTTATCCAACAATGTATTCAGCCAAGGTAGCGTAGAGATACACAACATATGAAACCCATAATCAAGCGAAATATGGCAAACTCACGCCAAACGGTCATTTCCCACTAAACCAGTGAAGCGGAAAAAGGAAGGCAGAGATAAGTGAAAGTACTCAAATGACTTATAAATAGTCAGCTCACGGAGGAATCGGTCCAGTCACCACCCGAAGAAGATTGTGGATACTAACAATCGAAACGTCGTGAAATAACTTGGTTTGGAATCTTTTAACTTTTCAATTTTTTTTTTTTTTTGTTTAATTTGTTCCATTTTTACTTTTATTTCATTTCACTATTATTTCATTTCAGGTATTTTGCTTAATATAATTGTTTTGTAAGCTAATCATTCTTCTTCTTTAATTTTTGATGCTTCTGTTTCAGTTATTTCAGGGATTTCAGGGATCATTTTATATAATATCAGACAATGGAAGTCCGAACTAATGAAATTTATCATGAAACATTGTCAATCACCTTCAAACAAACATATTTCAGTAATGATATCCCTTCATTGGAATGCTCAACTGTATTGTGAATCGTCTTTGCACTGTTATGAAGACAATTCATTATTATACTTTTTTTAACAGTTGCATGATGATTTGATGTGTAGAGAAAATATCTACTAGTAGTTTCTTCGCGTTAATATCACTATTTCAAAAACCATCAGACATAGTAGATACATTAAAAAAAAAAAAAAAAAAACATCGCAATAACCAAATTTTCGAGATAACATTAACACAGAGCGACATGAAGCAAACGATATTTCGTTTGTTTATTTGTTTCATGTCGTTCTCTGTTGATGTTGTCTCGAAAATTTGGTTGTTGTAATGTTTATTATTTTTTTTGTATCTAATATCTCTACTGGTTTTTAAAATAGTAATATTAACACGAAGAAACTACTTTTCAAGCCCTGAAGAAGAATTTAATGCAAACATTGGCAAGAAAACAATTGTTTTCTTGAGAAAAAATTTGTCCTGTTACCCAACCAACCTTCAGAAAATTTATTGTTGGTTTTTCTCCGTGATATAATTCAAAAAGGCATTCAGATAATCATTGTTTTCATTCCAAATGGCAAATCACCACCAAACTTTGAGACCGTTCTAGTTCTGATTCTGGATGAAGCCAAATCCTTGTTGGTTGACAAAAGTCATCCCCATATTGAAGAAGTTTTTTCTATACAGACATTTTCGTTCAATAATTTGGAGTTGAGTCATTTTTCAACCTGGTTCTTACAATTTGAAGAGTTTCATCAACAGGTACATTCATGGAAAGACATCGAGTGTTCAATTTTTGAATTCATTCATGAAATAGGTTTCATTTTTTTGGAAAACGGTTACAATTTTCTGATATTTGTTCCAAAATTCTGAAAGGTATCTTGCTAATTTTTGACAGGGAAATCCAACTGAACTCACAGTTAGTCTTGAAGAAATATTAGGTTTATGTATTCTTGGTAAACCATAAAAATGAGAGATACGTTGTGTGCGTTCTGTTTTGGTAAGTATATTTTTATACTTTGCTACTGTTTTTGAATTTTATGTTCTACTGAAAAACGATAAAAACTGATTTTTCTCCACGAAAAGTGACTTTCGTTCAATATCATCAATACCTTTCACTAACTGAAAGTAATCAATATTATTTTCGTGCTTTGAGTCCATCGAACATGACTGAATGATTGAAATTCTCATCTCATATGAAACTAATTGAGCTATGTCCATTTTCCTTCTTCAGTTGTGTGACTCGCCAATGTAAGCTTTTTTCTTACTCAAGAAAAGCGGGATTCAGACATAAAGCAACTTTGTTTTTGATAAAAACTACTGAAGACGTTAAGTAATACTTGTCGCTTTTGTGTGATAAAACTTCTGTCCTAGTTGAATCTTCCACGTGTACTAGCCTAATTTTGTCTTCTGCATTTGCCAATACGAAAATACTTCAATGTTTTTGGTTTCACGTAATAGTGCTAACTCATAACCTTTTTGATTACTCATAAAAACGAATCCAGAGACAAGTTCATCGTCGGGAGTTTTCTTCAGAAAGTTGAATATCTATACTTCTCAACATATTTTTTCAACACCCTTCTGGAAAATGAGTGCCCCTATTTCATCTGCGCCAACATTCAATCATTTCATCGCTTCTGAAAAATAGTTTTATCGTTGTGAAATCATTTGAAACAGCTGCTCGATTTCAACGTTGTTTTTTATCACATGAAAAAAAAATGATAGTTTGAAAAGATTGATAAACCGTATATCTTTGAAATTCCTATCATCGACATAATGAATAAAAGTATAATTCATACAATGTAAATAAAGATTAGTTTGATCAGCTGTTTCAATCATTTCTTCTTATCTACCTTGAGTTGTTGACCGTTGGTCTTTGTACCCCGTTCCCGTAATTGCGATTACGATCGAGTAGGTGATATTTTTCACACTTATGAAATCTCAGTGTACTGCTGTTTGAATAATTACGTACTTATTATGGGTCTTTGAGAGAGCACAATCTTGTTGGCGTTTTTTCTACAATGTATAGTTATCTATGATATCATGGAGAGCTGTCTCGAGAAATTTCTATTTATAAATACGCTGTCTGTTGAAAAATAAAATGGATTTCGATTTTTCCCAAAAAATATTTATTTATTCATCACTTCAGATATAATACACTTGTACACTTGTGCCAGCTTGAATTGTTTTTCGACAATACCGGACGTTTTCTTCTCGCAAGTGGCGCATAATTGCAAGGTAATACTCCTTATTGACCGTACAACCATGAGGAAAATTTTGATGCACTACGCCACGGTAATCGAAGAAGACAGTGAGCAAAACTTTGACAGGTTATCGAACTTGGCATGCTTTCTTGGTCTTGGCTCTCTTGGGATTTTCCATTGGGACGATTGGACTTTGGTTCCGATCTCATAACCATATACCCATGACTCATCACCAGTTACAACACTATAAATCCGCATTGCCGTTGATGTCATCCAACAATTTCCGAGTGATACTCATGCGACGGTTTTTTTGATGGAAATTCAGTAATTTTGGAACGACCTTCGCTGCCACAATCTTCATGCTCAACATTTCCGAAAAAATTGCATGATATGAGCCAATCGATATGCTGACATCCTCAGCAACGTCTCTAATAGTGATTTGACGACTCTCCATGACAATTTTTCTCCTTTATCAATATTCTCATCGGTTTTTGATCTGCTTGAGCTTCGCTGATGGCACCGCCATTCTATATACTGCAGAAACCTGGAAGAGTCTGAAAATAATAAATATAGTTTAAAAAAACTAAAAAACACGCTTTTAAAGAACATCGAACTATAAAGTTACCAATAACGTTTTTTAAATAAGCTTAAAACGATAACGATCGAAAAATACTAGTAATATTGTGAAAAAAGCCTGGGCGCTAGATAAACAAAAAATATGGCACAAAGCGC